AAGTCTTACAAGATAATCTAGGGAATAACATCCTGCTTTATTTAAAGCATGGTAGAGCACAGAGCTTGCCAGACCTTCAGACTGCAACCTCCCGAGAGGTGATCTTGCAATTTCACCTTGCATGCAGGGCTGAGAACACAGTTAAGCCCATGATGGATCATGCAGCTTGCAAGAGGCACACACAGACAGACACCCTAAATCTCACTGCGAAGCCAAGGGAAACCCAAGTGGCTCCAGAGGGGCCCCAACTGAGCTTTCTGTGCAGTGAAGTAACTTGGAAGGAGTACAACTCTGCAGAAGTACATCATTTCTAACTCTTTGCTGCTGGGTGGAAAGGGACAATCCTACCAGGTGTGCAAATTCACCAGGTTCCAGATGAAACCTGTAACACGTTTTTTTTCTGGATAATAATGCTATGTACCCAAGTTGGAAAATTGACCTATTTTTATATAATGCTTACTGTAGATCTTTCTGGAGATACTGTCATTGCTGAAAGGAAAAGGTTCTACTCATTTTGTCATCTTCAAATCAATTTTCCATAGGAGGCTTGAGTACCCACATAACACATGGTGTTTACTTAGTATATGACAGATGAGCAAGACTTGCTGCTAAATCCCAATATTGATGTGCTGAAGGTACATTATGAGGAAGCAGGGTCAGGCTGAAGTTACCAATCTAGTTGAGTAACGTGGGCTGCTTAGTTTGGCATCCCTTTCTGCAGACATCCCTGCCTTTGGCAGGATCACAGACAGCAAGGAAAACAGTGTAAATGCATTAAACTGAGCAGCAAGATTGCACGAGCCTGTCTCTCTTAGACAAAGCATATTAACTATTGATAAATTCCACTTCAGATTGGAATTGAGAAGTCCTAGCCAATATTTACTGAAAACAAATCACCTCCACAGAGCTAGCCAGTACTTGACTTCCTCCATAAATGCCACTGAGAGCCAAAGCTGCAAAAATAAAACCATATGGCACGAGCATTTGTTTGACTTGGGAGGGGAAGCAGAGACATAAAGACAAAGTCCTCCAGCACCAGCCAAGGAACCTCTTCTGACATCACCCAGTTCCCTCAGCCCCAACCTTCTCCTCACATCTACAGGAGAAATATACTTCTTCAGCATAAGAAAAGGGAGACAGGATATAAAAACATGAAAGCCTTGCTATTATAACAGGAAATCAATCACCTTCAAGACCTCTTTGGAAGCATGAAGTTGTCAGAAGCAGCAGCAGGGACAATTTACCATCCCTCCTCATGTATATTCTGGCCATTTCAGGAGTGGTCAGGTATGCTGAGCTGCATCATGCAGGTCCACTCCAGAGGCTGCCTTAATTTCTCACACGTTACACCATCCCTAAACACAGACACTTGGGTGCTGCCAAGCAAATCCTGGGCAGACACAGGCTGCTGCCAGCTCTTCCAATGTGAGGTTGTGGCTCTCATTCCCACCAGCTTCCAGCGATCAAATGCTTCACACGGTGCTGCTGCAGCCACTGCCAAGAGACTATGAAAGAGCAAAATGATTTTTCTTCACCCTTTTTTGTATTTAGGATAATGGCTTTTCTACAAGCCAAATAGAAAACTGCATTAATGTGTTTCCATGGGCAAAGCTGGAGAACACTGTAAATTGCCTTGCTTAATGGACTCGGGAATTCAGTTATCCATTCAGAAACTTCAGACTTTTAAGCGAGACCGAATCGAATGGTTTAGACCTCGGGAAGTGAACACACAGCTTCACAGCTCTGTGGTGTCATTATTTATGTCTGCTGGACGCGATGGAACAAATGTCTGTGGGAAGGAAGGAGACCCATGCCCACTACTCCTCCCAGCCCAGGGGCACTCTGCATCCTTAAGGGCACCGTACAATTTCCATCAGCACAGAAGAGCAAGCAGAAGGACCTGTGGGCATCTGTATCTGATTCTAAACACACTGCAATGACCAACATCAAGTGTGGTTTTACCATGCTAAAAAATATATATATATATATATATTTATATATATGAAATCAATTGATCACCCTGCTGGGGCAGCAACTGCCCATGCAGAGAACAGAAAGCTGCGGGTGCACCAACAATTCCAAGGGCTGCACAGCAAGCCCTGAGCTGGGAGCCCAATGAGAGCAATGACCATGCTGTTCTTCCAGGTGATTCTCACCCATGTCCCTTTTGGAGGATGCTACAACCCCTGGAGCTGGCAGAGGGACAGAGCCCCCACCTGCACCTCCTGCTCCAGACAGCTTACACTCTTCCTTATTAATAATAAATTAGTTACAATGAATGCACGGCCATAGGGGACAAGCTGCTGACTTCAGTCAGGATTTCCCTTGCTCCAGGCAGATGAGAAGGTATCTGTCCAAGCTGGTGCCAAGGAAAGCTGCCTCCTCCTGACCATCACACATTGCTGGGACTGCACAAGTAGGGTGGGGAAAAAGGAAAGGCCTTTTGTTCTGTGTGCCCAAACCCTTCTGGAAGGTGTATGAAAACCCACAAGCCACACAGGTGAGCTAATATCCTTGGCAATTTACGTGAACTATAAAATACACCAGAGAGCACAGGTTCCAGGTCTGATTACTGCTCATTTACAGAAACATGAGAAACGTACAGAAACATGCACCCCACACCAACAACAAAATATATATATATATATATACCCACATATATATATATATAGATATATCCACAGCTACAACCTAAAGCAAAACTAAAACGTATTGAAAATATTTAATTCTTTTATCTCCTGAGCAGCTTAACTGCCCAGAGGGATTTTCTTCCCCCAGGCCGAAAAGAAGAAAACAAAACCAAACAGCCCTCACTTCTCAGATTAGATGCTGAACACCAGATTCCAGCTGGGAGCTCAGGCACCTGCGGTGCAGTATTTATAAATGAAAGCACTGACATGACTTTAAATACAGTGTCACCAGAAACTTAATTATACAGCCACAAGTCTCTAATTGGAAGTCACGGAGCAATATATTGGCTTTGGCCTGCGGTTTGACACTCACCCAACCACTTTCCCAGGGTTGTTTGTGTTATCTGTCTCTGGTTTGAGCAGTGGTGTTTGTTTGCAGGCTGTGGTGGGATTAGCCCCATTTATCTTCGCTTGCTTTGTTTCCTTGAGCACATCCTGGGCTCACAGGGTTTGTTTTGGTGCGCAGGGAACAGCCTCTGCCTTGCTTCACTCAGCCTAAGAGTACACTCACGCTGGCCCAAGCCCAATATTTGATGCATCCAAAAAAGTATTTCCCTTTTGAACTAGCACACGGGTGTCCTACCAGTAAGACAAGCTCAGGAACCCCAGCTTCTCCCCAGACCCTTCAGTGCTCCATTGTTTGCATTCCTACTTCATTAGAAACACCACAGGGCAGCCCCCAAAAGGACAAGTGGAGGAGCCACTGAAGGGCAGGTTCAGCAAATGGGGAAGGATGGAGCCAGCACCATGTCGGGCTGCACACGTGTCTGTATGGCCCTAAGAACAGCCCTAAGTAACAACTCCCACACCCCAAAAACAGCCCATTTGGATAACTGGGCAAAAGGACAAAAAAAAAACTTATGAGGAATAGTGATGGACAAGTTGTTCTTCACTTGCATGCCCACACGGGAAGCTGTCACAGCCCTGCTGTTTGTGCAGGCATCCCTCGCAGCACAGATCCTTCAGCATTTTTCATCTTTCCCATCAGTATATTAAAGATTCATCACAGTTATCAGTTCCAGCTCCACATTAATAACCATGAGGACAGGTAACAGCCTCAGCAACACCACCACGTGCTGGCTCAGGGGGTCAGCAGGGAAAGACCTGAAAACCTCAGTGGTGACAGAGACAAGCCCCAGACTGTCACCTGCTTTCAGATGTGAAACCCTCCAGCAGGAATATGAATATCTATGGACCAGTGGCACCAACTGGGCACATGAGTTAAGGAAGTACAAGGCAGGAGAACAAGACAAGATGATGTTAAAATCATACATTTTCAGTTTGAAGAGTGAATCAGATTTTGGAAGGTGAAGCGCTCCCATGTCAGTGTCTGTACACGAGACAGGGCAGGTGAGCAGCCAGGAAAGAACCCCTGGGTGGAAGGGAAGGCTTTGTTCCTCTATTTTTGAGTTGAGAAATATGGTTAGGTGGAAAATACAGGACACTGAGGATGTGCCATTAGTGCTCTAAGTAATTTCTTCAGAGTTTTTATCTAGAAATATTTAACACTTAAGTTCAAAATAATAACAAATAATAACTAGAAAAATTGATTTTAAATATAGAAAAACTCACGCTTAATCATGTAACTACAAGGCTTTTAAGCTTTTCAAACTGATTTATCACAGGTACAAGTTTCGGTTAGCTTTCCTCCAAGCATCCCTTTCACATCCACACTTCTCCCAGTCACTGTGCAGCTTCCCACCTGGAGTGGGACACAGAACTTGTTTGAGCTTAAAGAATAGCCAAGAATTGCTGATGGTGCTGAGGAAGAGCCCCACAACCTCTGAGTGCCAGAATCATCCCTGCAAGTGTTGTCTTCCTCCACCTGCATCATACTTGGAGGCTGATGCCCGCAGCTCCACATTTGGAAACAAGAGATGGCAGTTGCTGCCACTGCTTGAGCTGGGAGCTCCCAACCCAGCTGAATTCCCCTTCATTTAATATCTCTTGTTTCCAAACACAGCCAGAGACACCGACAGGCAACCTCTGACTTAGTCAAGGGCTCTACTCTGTGCACAGCGTTGTCAGAGATCCTCCATGGCTAATAAGATAACGATGCCATTGATAATACATCTTAAATTAAGGGTTACGAAGAGTTGAGACAATAAATCCACTCAGCTTCAGATAGCCTGCAGAAACACGACCTTTTCTCCATCGTTTATAACACAGAAGGCTGAAGAGAGCACCCAATCCAATTATATGTGTATTTACCTAATCCACCAGTGAAAGGCCTTTACATCTCCTTAATTCCAGCATTCTGCTCAGGCAGCAGTTACATCCCACCCAGAGGGAAGGGTTTGATGACTGCCATGCATGAGCCCCACTCCTTGGCTTGGTTATCACCTTCTCCAGCCCCTGCTCACTGCCCTCCCGTGTAATTAGGCATAGACATTGTCTTCCTGCTGGATTATGAAGTCGTTAAGGCAGGTATCATCTTTTTGAGCTATGACTGTACAGTATCTAACACAGCCAGAGCCTAATCCTTGGCTGGAGCTCCTAATCACTGCAGTACATTTCTATAATGAAGATATTTCATTATCAGCTGTAAACTGAAGAGTCAGCTCTCAGTTTTCTGGGATAACTGAAGGACAGATATCTAACAGGGAAAAAAAAAAGAAGAAAAAAGGTTAGAAAGGCTCATATAAACTGAGCACAATATGCCTTCACAGTTCACGTATGAAATTACTGAATGAAGCCAGCATTCTCAGAGCCAGGTTTCCTACTGGCACCCAGGGCAAGTCCCAGCCTTGCCAGCCTCCAATGGCAGGCTTCCATACTCAGAATGGAACAGCAAAGAGTGAACTTTGGAGTTTTACCCAACATTAAGTCTGGTCTCAGTTTTTTGGGTAAAAGGTACAGAATATGTAAACCTCGAGATTGCTTCCAGAAAACCTTCTTCTCATAAGAGAAGCAGATGAAGTAAGAAATAATACTTCAATAAATCATACAATCGTAGACTTCAACAGGTCTATGTTTGCATAAACTGTGCCTTACCAGACAGTAACATAGGTCACTTGGAGATGATTTCCCCTTTTCCTTGCCCTGCAAAGCAAAATATGATTTATATTCTGTTTGCAGGCAAGCCAAGTAAAATGCTCAATTATAAATAGCTCTTGTAAATATAATCCTTCCAACTGGAATATTTGTACATTATCTTAATAACGATTTCAGTTACAAAACCTAATTAGATCGGTTCCTCATCCCAGCCCAGCCCCAATGCAATGCCCAGTGCAGGTTGGCACTTATGGGATATGAGCCACCCTACAGCAAACCCTCAGTAGATACAGGTGTCCCAACTCCACCAGGTCCAGAGACTGTGACAGCCCCAAAAATGATCTAAGCGGTCCCCAGTATAAGTGGAAACCAGAGCCCATTATTTTTATTTATGTAGAGCCAAAACACACACTTCCTAAAGCTAAGTCTGCATTCAGCAGATGAAATATTTTTATAACTTAGCCACCAAGGTTATAGAGAGGTAGAGGGGAATGTATATCAATGCTGATAGGAGTTTTTTCCCCAGATGTATTTACTAGGATAGATCATCTTCCACAGGTAATGGGACACGAGACATTACTTTTATGCTCAGTCTAATTGCTCAGCCATCACGAGGTGCTACCAAGTTGGGAAGCACTAACTCCAACTAATCGAGCTTCAGACTCGAGGCCACCAAAAACTGCGAAGCTGAAACTACAGATTAAAGATGACATTTAAGAGCCAAGAAGACTGTGATAGAAAGCTGAAAACATTTCAATCAGGAGAGAGCATTTACTACATCTGCTGTGCCAGGGCTTGGCCATCCAAGGAACCTGAAGTACAAATGACCAGAGGAAAAAGAGCAAGAGCTAGTTGTATGAAATTAGACTGCTTTACTTTTTTTGAGAGTTTGTTCCTGCTCTTTGCTATCACAGCTCAGTGTATGATAACAAATGCAGTAGCACACACAGTTACTTTGACATCAAACCAAGAACAATTACAAGCGAGGCCCGCGTGAATTGCCTTCAAAAAACAAGAGACTTCCATTTTTATAACACTGTCCCTTCTCACTGAGAGCAGAGAAAAACCTTCAAGTTCAGTGTTAAATCAAAATTTACTTCCAGAGAGGCATAGGCTCTCCTACAAAGGCAGCATCTTCACCTGGGAGCACCCAGATATCTCATAGTCCCTGGATTCCCTGATGAAACCATTGGAAAGGGCAGCAGAAAAGAGAGCAGCATCTCAGGCTAGGATTGGGTAATCCAAATAGCCTGGGATTACAGAAAGGTTTGTATCCCATCAGGCAACAAACTGCCATAACCCAAATCCATGCATCACACACGAGCAGCTCCCCAGAGGCTCCCCTCCATCGCCTCCAAAATACCAGAGCTGTATACAGCTTAACCATACGAGTTCAGAGCGCATCAGCCCTGGCAAAAGTGAGAGCCTGAAGGATGAGCCCCACCACAAGCAGCGCCTCGGAAACTCCTCTTTTGATTTCATAGGAGGTAGTTCAGACTCGTACCTGAACACTTGAGGTAAGCCCATATCTGCGCTGTGCTCGAGCTCTGCTATACAAAATAGCACATGAAACAGCACTAAAGATGCACGGAATCAAAGGCAAACTATTTCACACGATCTAAGACAACTTAAACCACTGAAATAAAACCATAGCAATGCAAGGGAACGCAACCAGCTCCAGATGCATCAGGTGCAGTGACTCAAGCAACCAAGATTTTACTCTTAAGGGCCAGACAAGGGCACCTGCACACAGGCATCACCCCCAGCCCTTTGGTAAAGAGGAACAAGGCTCTTTCTTAAAAGCACCCATGAAGCCAAACCTCAGGAAGGACAAAGCTGGCAGGGCTTTGCTGAAGGAGATGCTAATAACTATCAGCACAGATGGGCTTTAAACCTCAGAAAGGCACTCAGCAGCCTCAGGTCCTCCTTTCTGCTATGGAAAAGCACAGGACAAAAATGCTTTCAAAACAATGTTGCTTCTATCCATTAACCACCATATTTATTAAATAACCAGATGAGGACAGTATGAGCAAACAGAGAGACATTTTGATATGCTGATTTGTACATCCAGAAAGACCTACCGTGCAATGATTACACAGTTGGTTAACTTTGGGGAGAAGCTTCACCTTTTTATTAAGAAAAAGGAATGCAATTATAAGTTTGGTGTGAAACAATTTATCCCACACTCAGTATTTCTTTCTCTCCATCAGTTTATTGCTTCAAAATTATTTATCTCATTATTTATCTCTCTGTTTGTTTTTGAAGGACATCTTTCGTGCCTCCAAGCCACTTTATTCATTAGTTCTCCAGAGTTCATGTCCCATTTCATTATGTTTTAATCTTTACAGTTGTTAATTTGCATTTCATTTCCTGTAGTAGCAAAAAAAAAAAAAATTACTAACAAAAAAGTTATTTGTAAATATTAATACAAGTCAACCGATAATCATCCAGGGAAGCATCGTACAGCAATAACAATTACCTGCGTCTGAGGCAGAAAAAGGCAATTCTAATAATTATAGCAAGGAAAAGCACTTTTGAAAGGGCACAGCACCTCCTCAGAAGTGCTGCTGGGCCATTCTGAAGCAGCACTTGTAATTAACAAGGGCTTACTAAGAAGAGGAGCTGCCCCAAAGGACAGCAAGGCCTGCATGGTGATCTGAGGGCCCCCAGGAGCTGGGCTGCCTCCTGCCACACAGTCCATGGAATGCAAGCAGCTGCTTGACTTACAGCCTAACTATAATGCTTGCTTATAAAAACCAGACCAGAGAAAAAGAAAAACCTACAATCTTAAACCAGGAAAGCGAGCAAAGCAAGCATGTGAGGCTTCTCTCTCGTGCGCAGCTTCTGCCACCAGCTCTCAGCACTGCACTACAATTTCTATTTTCTCTTAGAGAGAAACATGTTCAGTGCAGCTTAAAGACCAAAAAGAACATGAAAACATAACTCACCCCAACCATCCTGCAGGCTCCAAGCTGTGCTGGTCTGGGCACAGGACAAAACAGCACATCACCTCCAGGAGAGGTGTCTTTACCCAAACGGAGCAAATAATTTCAGTTGTGGGTAATTACCCTCATTAGATAAATACTAGGCAGACTCATTAACTTTCACAGAAAAAAGCCCTGAGTGACCCAAAATAGGAGTGGTGAGCTGCAGGCTGGCCTGGCTCCTGCATTAAGCATCCACAGCTGTGAGAAGTTACAGAGGATAAGGGCTGCCAGGAGCTGCTCATTAGAAAACCTCCACAAAGGAGAACAGGGGAGAAAGGGCTCTGGTATTTAGCCTTGCACCTTTGCACCTCTGCTTCTCCCCTCCGAAGTCCCCATTTTATCCCATGGAGAATCCCACAAGACGTGCTGTCTGTTTCAGTGTCACTGTACTTCCCTGGAACACGGCTGTGCATCCGTAGGGGAACAGTCACTACAGAGCAGGTTCTGAGCAGAGCCTAACAAAGCCTTGCCCAGACATCCAGCTCTCTGGTGCTGGAGGGAGGATTGCCTCTAATTCCTCACACCTGTTGAGCCTTCCTAACGGCTCCATCAGGTGGTACCAAAGCATCCATCTAAGCCACTTCTCCGTCCATTACAGGCAGCTGCACAGAGAAATCAGACAGCTCAATGGGCTTAGCCCTCATAAAAAAAAAATGGATGAGGTGTTTCTCTTAATGCTCTTCCTCTCCAGCTCCTCTGAGATCCCGCAGGTGATTTGCTGGGGCAGCTCTGCACCATGCACGTGGCATGGGGCCTCTTAGCAGCCAACCAAAGGGGCTGTTAGGAGAACAGAATGCCCAAAGAGCTTTGCCCTGATCAAGTCCTGAAGACTGATCTGAGGAAGAAATGAAATCCTTGTGATGAAGAGCCAAAGAAACACTGCAGAACATTTCTGTAATGCGCCAGTATAAAACTAAGAAGTGAAAGGAGCTATTGCAAATGCAGCCCTGGTGCCTGCTGAGTGTTTGCTGTGTAGGAAACAATCATTTCATATCAGTGTAAATGCACCCTTCATACATCATTTCCCTTGTACTTTTACACCATAGTGAATAATAGAACAGGAAAAGGATCAAAACAGCCCTTGCTGCTGCTGGATTCAGGGTGAGGTGGGGCAAGGAGCCCATGTGCTCCCAACCAAACCCCATCCATCGCAGACCCCTGCAGGCCTGTAGCAAGATCACAGCCCCATTTCCTTTCCCCCAACACTCTGAAACAAATGTTACATTATTTACTAAACAAAACCCTGTTCCATACACTAAAATACTTACAAAAAGTCTCCTAGTTTTTTGATTGCTTAATTGCTCTCCGTAGCACTAAGGATCTTAGCTCAAAATTAGCCTCCCCAGTAAAATCTGGAAAATAGAACCTTCCTAGGCAAGAGATCTGAGATCATTTACGGTGACCGTTAACTGAGAGAAGCTTTGGGGCTGATTTCAGACACGCACCATCCTCATGGATTTTCCCTTGCAGGAACATGAATTTGTTTCAGGGGAGTTTCAACATTAATGTCATCCCATTACATTTTTTTCTCCTGTGTCTTAGAGGAAGGGAAAGGTTGGGGTGGGTGAGGGAGTGCCCTGCAGAGCCCCTGCAGAACAGACCCGCTGTCCCACAGAGCTGGGAATTTCCACATTTCCTGAACCATGCATTTTCTGGAATAATGAGCCAGGTTTTGCTCTCCCTAAACAAAGTCTGCAGCAATGCCACGTGAGTTCTGCTGGGCGTTAGGGTGATGCAGCTGCAGGCAGGGAGGCTTTAGCTGGCAGATAAACCACATTTGGCAGAGCAGTCCCTGATTCTGCACTGGCTGTGCTGATATTCAGGTGAGAAAAGCACAGGAGGATAGATGAATTTTAAAAAGGTATATATCTCAAGCAAGATGGAACCAAAATAACAGAAGGACCCACGCAAGGGTTAGGCAAAGACAACGGCCCCATCCCTGTTCCAAGAGCTTTAATTTGGGGTGAGTTTACTCCTCTTCTCCCTTTTCCCAGGCACATTCAGGACAAGCTGGCACCAGTTCTTTAGCATCATGCACACACAGTGCTGAGAGGGAAGCCAAGGCCCCCACTCTGACCAGCTTAAATGTTGAACAAATGCACAAAAGCTCTCTTAATCATCCTCAGTTTTGCTTTCTTCTTCCCTCCCTCCATCCCCCCTCAAATCTATCTCCATGGATCCTGAAAACCTCGGGAGCAGCTCAGGGTTTTAAGCAGTTCACACCACTGCAAATCCTCCTTAGCCCCACTCTCCCTTCCGTCTCTGCTGCACCCAAGCCTTCCCTGCCTGGCTGCTGCCTCCATTCTGCTTGCTCACTGCAGGCTTTCCAAAGCTCTCCCAGACTCGTGCAGGGTTTCATAGACTCACTCAGGTTGAAACGACCACCTCAATTCCCCAATCCCAACCACAGCCCACCCCACCTTGCCCACTGACCACGTCACCCAGTGCCACATCCCCACAGCCCTGGAGCACCTGAGGGACAGGGACTCCCCACTCCCTGGCTGCCTGTGCTGACAGCTCTTTCAGAGAAGAGGGAATGAGGTCTGAGCCAGCTCCCATAGAGCCTCCGTGCAGCCATGCCCTCGACGTTACTGCAGTTCCCTCCCCAGTGATAACAGCAGAGCACACCTTTTGACTTTGGCTCGTGAAGCGATCATTAGCAATGATGCATCAAAACGTTTTTGATGAGCGAATGATAAAAGCAAACAGGACACAGTAATCGTCGGGCTTATTTACAGCGAGGTGAAACACCGCTGTTGTCAATTTTGGAAAGTGACTTTGAAGGAACTTTCTAAAGGGGATACTGAGAATGCTTCCTCTCCCTCACCTGCAAACAACCGTAACCATTATTGATAGCATTTCTAAAATGGCAGGTACATAGAAACAGAGACTCTTATTTTCTGTCAAAATTGTTTTATAGTGCCATTTTTTCCCCTTGTTTAAGGCGGCAGCACTCATTTACAACATTAAACAACGTGATTTATGTACTTTAGCAGAGCTTACTACATTTAAATGTTTGGGGCATTTCATTTTTACAACATACCTTGTTCCAATATAATCAATGTGCTTTTTTCTTGGGCTGTGATAGGAATGCAGTTTGTGTTTTATAGCAAAATCAATATAAGAATTAATGGGTGACGAACAAAGTAAATTGTAGAAAGCACATAGGGGTTGTGAGATCTCTTTTGCTGCATCGATTCCATTAGCATTAGGCTGCCCAGTTGTACACGGTTCCGTATTTGATGAGCGAGCAGCAGACTTCATATTCTGCTGAAGAGAAAATAGGCAAAGTCCAGTACTGAAATAACTATGCCAAAGTCACTGAGGTTAAAGCAGGAATGGACACGAGCCAAGGGGATGCTGGCACACAGTGCGCTTCAGAAGCAGCGGCCGTAAACATCAGATGGTCATGAACAAGGCCACTCTGACTTTAATTACAGGCTGTGATATTCGAGTGATGACATTGTTTGTAACATTGGGTTATCTGCTCATTAATTCGCTCAAAAAATAAAAATAACAAGAAGACAACACTACTCCTAGGCTTCCTTGCTAGTGGAGGAAAAGCAACATTTAAAAAGAAGAAAACAACAAAAAAAAGCCAACCACCTGCATGCAACCTAGATTTCTTGTTAAAGCCATAAACAAGGAGGAGCTGCAGCAAGAAACAAGCAATGTCATCCAGAAAACATTTTTCTCATCCAGGGCCTCTTCTCTTTCCTAAACTTGCCTCTTGCTCTGAACATAAGTACACGTGCCAGTGCCCAGAAAGGCACTCCTCTAAGTATTTCAGGAGCCCATTTCCCCTGTGTCCCACTGGAGCCAAAGCAGTGCTGCCCCATGCATTGGGAGTCCCAGCCCCCCTCAGCCCCTGGGACACCCCGCAGGGCAGGGGGTGACGCTGCAAAACACTGGCTGCCCTGCAGCCCTCACATGCTCAGAGTAACAGAGAGCCAGCAGATTTGGACCAGGAATGGCTGCAGGCACCTTTCCAAGTGTCCAGCTAGCTCTGCTACATTTCTCTGTCACACACCGTCCAAGTTGCAGTGATGACCTTCCACCTTCTGACATCTATGATCATTCCAATTCTGAATAACAGATTAGATGCATCTGTCCATTTTGCAACATTACATCCCAAATAACCCAACAACAGAACTGCTCTCCAAATCAGGCTGTAGATGTCTCACACCGCCAACAGCAGAGCATTCCGGGGTGCAGTGACATCTGTTACTGTCCTCATCTATTCCCTCTCCTTGGGGAAGACCTTTTTCATTTTCATAATCATCAACAGGTTTTAATGGATCCTATCAAACAGGCTCAGGTACAGCAGGCATAGCACAGGGCTTCTGCAAGAATATTATCCTCCGAATGTTCAAAATTGTTTTTACATGGCACTTATTGTTCTCTCTTAGTTATTTGAAGTTGGGAAGTTTATCGCTCTTTGGGAGCGAAAGAAGTTAATTATATTTCATTTCAAAACAAATTGTTGATACAGGCTCCAAGTGTCAGTAATTAGATAATTTCACAGTGCACATTCCATTACCACTGTCATACTTAATGACTGTTTATTTGAAGAGTCCTTCTAGCACCGCAGCTACCCTGGCACTAAATACAATAATGGATGGCATGATCGGTGAGCTTCACCCATTGCTCTCATATTTACAGGAACAAGTTCTAGAGGAATTTCTACTCAAATGTGGAGCTTTAGATGGCAGGGATTAAAATGCTGGCCTTAATGAAATCAGTAATACAACACTCATTGACTTCCCAGGGTTCAAATGTAATCAGTTCCTTATAAGTAAAGATGATTAGTGACATAAACTACATATTAAATAAACCATTATCGCGAGCTCTAGCCTGACTTAGAGCACCAAGAGGACTTCTGCTGTAAAAAGAGCCTGTTTACTCCTTCTTGGACTCTTTTACATGGCTAAAAATGTGCAAAGTGATAGGGCAGGGGATGAGAGAAGTGCCCCCATACTCCGCACCCAGCCCCAGTGCTGGGTAACACACAGCCCACCCCCCTGCCCACAGCCCCCC